CACTCCCACCAACAGTGAACAAGGGTTCCCTTCTCTCCACATGTTCTCCCACATTTGTTGTTTCCTGTCTTGTTAATTATAGACATTCTGACTGGAGTGAGGTAATACCTCATTGTAGTTTTGATTTGCATTTCCCTGATAGTTAATGATGTTGAGCATCTTTTCATAGGCCTGTTCGTCATCCGTATATCTTCTTTGGAGAAATCTCTGTTCAGATCCTTTGCCCATCTTTTTAATTGGATTGTTGGTTTTTTTGTTTTTGAGCTGTATGAGTTCTTTGTATATTTTGGTTTGCAAATATCTTCTCCCAATTGTTAGGTTGTCTTTTCATTTTGTTGATAGTTTCCTTTGCTGTGCAGAAGCTTTTTCTTCTTTCCCTTTTTGTTTTTTTTTTAAGGATTGGCACCTGGGCTAACAACTGTTACCAATCTTTTTCTTTATTTTTTCTGCTTTATCTCCCCAACCCCCCCGTGTACACAGTTGTATATCTTAGTTGCAGGTCCTTCTAGTTGTGGGATGTGGGACGCCACCTCAATGTGGCCTGACGAGCAGTGCCATGTCCGTTCCCAGGATCCGAACCCTGGGCCATTGCAGCGGAGCATGGGAACTTAACCACTCAGCCATGGAGTGGGCCCCATGCAGAAGCTTTTTAGTTTGATGTAGTCCCATTCATTCATTTTTTCTTTTGTTTCCCTTGCCCGGTCAGACATGGGACTTGAAAATATGCTTCTAAGATCAATGTCAAAGAACGTACTGCCTATGTTTTCTTCTAGAAGTTTCATGGTTTCAGATCTTACGTTCAAGTCTTTAATCCATTTTGAGCTGATTTTTGTGCATGGTGTAAGGGAATGGTCTACTTTCATTCTTTTGCATGTGGCTGTCCAGTTTTCCCAACATCATTTATTAAAGAGATTCTCCTGTGTCCATTGTATGCTCTTGGCTCCCTTGTTGAATATTAGCTGTCCATAAATGTGTGGGTTTACTTCTGGGCTCTCAATTCTGTTCCGTTGATCTTTGTGTCTGTTTTTGTGCCAGCACCATGCTGTTTTGGTTACTATGGCTTTTTAGTATATTTTGAAATCAGGGAGTATGATACCTCCAGCTTTGTTCTTTTTTCTCAGGAATGCTTTGGCTCTTTGGGGTCTTTTGTTGTTCCATATAAATTTTAGGGTTCTTTGTTCTATTTCTGTGAAAAATGTTGTTGGAACTTTGATAGGGATTGTGTTGAATCTATAGAATGCTTTCGGAAGTATGGGCATTTAACGATGTTAATTCTTCCAATCCAAGAGAGTGGAATATCTTTCCATTTCTTTGTGTCTTCTTTGATTTCTTTCAACAATGTTTTACAGTTTTCGCTGTACAGATCTTTCACCTCTTTGGTTAAGTTTATTCCTAGGTATTTTATTCTTTTTGTTGCAGTTGTAAATGGGTTGTATTCTTAATTTCTCTTTCTGCTACTTCGCTGTTAGTGTATTGAAATCTAACTGATTTTTGTACATTGATTTTGTATCTCACGACTTTACTTGGAAATTTTCCTGTATTATTTCTACAAATAAATTTTCTCCCCCTTTGTCTCTCTCCTCTCCTTCTGGGACACCTATTATCTGAATGTTAGCATGCTTGATATTGTCCCAGAGTTCCCTTAGACTGTTATCATTCTGTCTAATTATTTTTTCCCTATTCTGTTCTGCTTGGGTGATTTCCTCTTGTGTTTTGTCTAGCTTTCTGATCCATTCTTCTGCTTCCTCTACTCTGCTATTGAGTCCCTCTAGTGAATTTCTCATTTCCAGTATTGTAATCTTCATTTCTGTCTTTTTAATATCTTCTAGTTCTTTGCTGATGTACTCACTGTGTTCATCCATTCTTCTCCCCATATCTGTGAGCATCCTCATGATATTTTGTTTGAACTCTTTGTCAAGTAGGTCGCTAGTTTCTGTTTCATTTAGTCCTTTTTCTGGGGTTGTTTGCTGTTCCCTTGCTTGGAAAGTATTCCTTTGTCTCCTCATTGTGCCTCTTTCTCTATGCTTATTTCATTGTATTGGGTGAGTCGGTTATGTCTCCTGATCTTGGATAAGTGGCCTTATGTATGAGATGCCTTATGAGGCCCAGCAGTGTGCTTCCTTCTTGTCACCAGTCCATAAGAACCAGAAGTGACCCCTTTGTGAGCTACTTGTGTCGTTCTGCTGTGGCAGGCTTCCTCCCACTGCAGGTACCCAGGGAGTCTAATCTTTTGTTCCCTGGCCAGCTGTTTGTAAATCTGGTTTTGGTAGCCTCAGCCTACAAAGTCTATCAGCACACTCTTATTGCAGTTTTCCTCTTAATTGGGTTGCTACCCAGAGTTGCTGGTTGCTAGGCTCAGGGGTGTACAGTTGTGATAGGCAGCAGGTCTACAAGGCTGTTGTCAGTTCTCTTAGGAGTGCAGCTGAGTGGGGCTGACCCTAGGCACAGGAGCACTCAATTGTTTCAGACTTTGGAAGGTGGGGCTGATCCTTTTTATGGCTGTTTGTGAAGCATAGGTCTGCTGCTGCTGATAAGCATCACCCCCCAAAGGAGCACATACACCGTCAACACAGTCCTGGTCCGTGCACACTTCTCAACCCCCTGGAGTGTACCCCGATGCCACAGTGCAGGGGCCCCCACTTCTCCACCAGTGCCCCCTACAGTTCACCTGGTCCTCATACAGGCCCTGCCCCACAGAGGCAGACACCCTTGCCTGCCTGTAGAGGGTCAAGGCACCCAGTCCATGCAGGCTGAAAAGTAGCCTGAGGGCTTGATGTTAGTTGGGGCTGCTCCCTAGGGAGGGCTGTGTGCCCTGGCTGAACTGGATTAAATATGTACTCTAGTGGGCCTGGAAGACCCCTGGGCTAACAGGCCAAGGGATGAACCTCAATGGCACCCACCATGGTCCATGTCAGCATGCCTGGACCAGCTCAGAACAATAGCCCCCACCAATGCCTCAGTCTCCAGAGAGCTCCCTCCTCTCACCAAGATGCCCCCAGAGCCCACCGGTGAGTCTCCTTTCACCGAAGGACTGTCAGCCTTCTCTCTGGTGATTTTAGGTTGCTGCAATGAGTGAGTTTGTGTGTGGGCCCTTTAAGATCCAGGTTTTTTGGCTTTTGGCTGACAGCTTTTCTGGGGGTATCCTCACTGCAGTTAATAGCCAGCAAAGCCAGACAGTAAGACCCCTGTCTCAGCTGAGCTGAGTCTGAAGGATGCTTATAGCAATATCGCCCCCGTTCTGGACCTCACTCCTCCGGGGAGGGCTGCGTACCTTAGTGAGGCTCCCGCCTGGCCAGCTGAGAAGCTCCGCTGCTCCCAAAGATGGCTTCTTTCCTCTCCAGAAAGAATTTCTGCCTCTTCTGCCTTCGTCAGGACTGTCCCTTGTTGTGGGGGTTCTTTTTATCCAGTTTTCAGTTTTCAATCCAGGGTAATTTTTCCAAAAATTGTTGTCACTTGGTTGTGTTCGTGGGAGGAGGCAAGTTCAATGTCTGCTCACACCGCCATCTTGACAAGATCCTCAATATTTTAGAATTTTATAATAAAAGTTTCTGATAAGATTAAATAAGTAGGACATTTTATTTCCTTTTTTCTGTGCTGTGACCAAGGATTTAGTTTATTCATTCAACCTCAGTCATACTCCCCGATACCAAGCTAATTTAGTTAAAAACAATGTCCTGACTACATTGATAAAATTATCACCATTACATTATCTTGACAATTATTATCTTCTTTGTGCATTTTTGTATCTGTTTTATTTGTGAACTAATAAATAAAACAATGTGAATCTGGCCCTCAAAATGATTGTGATGTAGGTAAGGAAGTGAAGTATTCAGTATAAGTGACCTTGAACTCTTCTAGGTTGTAAAAACTCCCTGTGAGTATTTTGCTTATAGTTTGTGTTGAGCATATTTTGAACACAACATGTGTGCTCTTTAAAAGTGGAGGGGAAAGAATATTTATCAAAAGCTTAACAAATAAGTAGCAAAGAGAATGGAATGGGCACTGATGTCTGGTAATATTGATGGAAGCTGACAAAACAGTGAAGGCTTCCGGTCAGACCGAGTGGCTTGAATAAAGGTGAGAAGCAGTGTGGTAAGCAGTCAATCCAATTGGAGTGAAAGGTCATGCAAGCAGCAAAGAGGAAAAGAAAAGAATCAAACTGCATGAAATTTAGTAGTAAATGCACTATCTTCAACTTTGTCTGAAAATTTGAAGTGCATATGCACATGATTTGTTGCTTACCAGAAATCATGGACGAAACTTGGGAAAGCAGTAAATTAACCTAACACAGTTCAAATATTTGACTACAAGTGCTCAGTTAGGCATTGTTATTTGATATGTAGCAAGTAAGGGCAGATTGCTCAGGCCATTGTCTCTTGTCCTGGCAAGATATTCCTGAGAAGATTTGTTTAGTTTAAGCTTCGGTATGAGCTCAGAAGGGTCAATGGTATACCCAGAATATTGACTGGATCCTCTGGAATATCTAGAAACCAGTGTGAGGACAAAAATGGAAACAAAACAAACAGAAAGCAACACTAAAAATGTTTACCCAGAGAGTAAAACAGCAAGAGATCCATTTTAAATGTCTTCACATATTTGAAGGTCTATAATGTAAAAGGGGATTACTTTTAATTTCTGTGAACTTTGGAGATAGCGTTAGATCCATTTGGACCTGGAAGGTACCACAAAATACAGTAGAAAGAATACCAGTTAAGAGAAATATTGAAGCACAGAGTTGACTATGATGGTTACTGCTTTGATACATTTCACTGACAGAGTCTGAGGTGGGAACATTAGCTGTGAAGACAGGAGATTTAATGTAAGGAAGGGACAGTAGAACTATTGCTCATGAAGACTGAACACAAGGTATGTGGAAATATGCAGGAAGTCTCTGCTTTTCAACTATATCAAGTCTCTTCTTGATCTTGGTTTAGAGGCTGTCACAACGGTCAGTTAGTTTCTATCAAGGAGAATATGATCTAACAATTCCAGGAACTCTTTCTCCAATCCAAGTTCTAGAACCTTTACTGATATAGTCATTTCATCAAACTTTCTTGAAGCAGTAGCAGACCGTACCTCAAAATTCTTAACCTGCATAGATGTGACCCAAGAAAAGCAGTGTAAGTTCCTGAATTTGGAGAAGATTTTTATGAATACATGTGACTGAATACATAAAGTTCACAAATTGTCAACCCAATCTTCTATGTAATGGAAAATGTGGTCGCACAGCTGGTGCTCTGTGCCTGGGATTAGCGGCAGATTTCATGACAGGCTACTGCTTGTGCCAAGCAAAGCTAAAAATGGTGCCAGTTCACAGATGGATTGAAGATGGCAGCAACATATTCATTGCATCTCCACATTTGTTTCCAGAATCAGTTGTGATTTTTTAGGTTTAATCATGTGAAATTTCTAATATTCAAATTCCTGTTGGTTTATAAAAGTAAAATATTTATATTTTTGAATCTTACAAACTTTATTTATTCCTCATTGACCACCACACCTAAGTGTGGAAAAGATTTTGGTTATTTTGCAAGAGATATTTCTGTTTTTAGTAAGATTTTTTTGTTTTATAATCACTGATAAATAAGCAGGATTTTTTTTTCCATTTTAATACAATATGTACTACCAACAGAAGATAGTCAGCATGAAACTTTCAAGAATATCTCCAAAACACTTCCTCAAAACACATTTCAAAATCACTGAGCATTTTGAGCCTTGTAAAGTGCCATTTGGTGGATATGTTATGGAGAGAACATAGTTAGTGGAATTTTTGATCAGACCTCTTAAAGATCTTCTTAAGTAGATGTTTTATGTGTCCTTGATAATAAGATTTATGTTGAATAGGTAAATATTCAATATATCAATAAAGAATTTTGAATGTCTGATGATACATTTTCCCCAAAGAAATTTACTCTTTTGTATTTCTATATGTATGGTGTTTAATCTTCTCAAGGCCACTTCTGCTGTGATTATATGACTACAATGATCTGCTCAACATTTTTATGATTTCACTTTATGTCTCCTTTGTTCTCATATGATTATATTTTATCATGGGGTATTCAATGCTCTAAGTATCACACGCATTTATGAATCATTTATATAGTAAGACTATTGATAATTACTAGTTTTTCTTGTTTTCCAAATGAGGAAACTACAGTACTGTAGGATAAAGCTAATTGCTTACAATCAAAAAGTCAGTGAGTTTTCAAGACTCCAATGTTGAGCAGAACACTCGAGAGTGCGCATTGACAACATTGTGTTAAGTAGTTCACGCTGAGCTGTCCCGAGTTCCTCTTACCCCACCTTCTCAAGTTCTGTTGCTCAGTTTTCTTATTTATTTATTTATAATAAAAAGCCATGTTACTGTATGAGGGAAATCAGAGTTCTGTGAACACATTCATCCTCCTGGGCTTCTCAGAATACCCACACCTCCAGGGAACCCCTCTTCCTGGTTTTCTTGACCATCTATACAGTCACTGTGGTAGGGAACCTGGGCATAATTGTGGTCATAAGGATCAATCCCAAACTCTATGCACACATATACTTTTTCCTCAGCCATCTATAATTTTTGTATATTTGTTATTCCAATGTGTTTACAATCAAATTGCTAGAAATCTTGGTTGTGGAAGGCAGTATTATCTCCTTCAAGAGATGCACAGTACAATTTTTCTTTGTGCGTTTGTAATAACAGAAATGTTCATGTTAGCAGTGATGACCTATGACCAGTTCATGACTTTGTAACCTCCTTCTCTACACAGTTGCTATGTCTCATAAACTCTGTACTCTCCCCATAGTGGGAAGCTACATACATGGTGGAATATGTTCCTTGACATTCACATATTCCCTTCCGGAACTATCCTTCTGTGACTCTAACATCATCAATCAGTTTGGCTATGGCTGTGAGTATTCTGCCATCTCTCTTTATCCTCTTCTGACCCCTTCTGCAGTCAGAAGACATGTTTAGTCATTTCTACGTTCACTGAGGCTTGTAGCCTCCTGATTATCCTCTCCTTCTACGTGGTCCTAGTTGTCACAATCATCAAGATGCCTTCTACCGGTGGACTCCAAGTAACCTTCTCTGTCTTTACTTCCCACCTGACTGCCATCACCATTTTCCATGGAATCATCCTTCTTCTCTACAGTGTGCCCATCTCCAAAAGCTCATGGCTCCTTGTCAACTGTGTTTCTTACCATCGTGATCCCTACACTGAACTCCTTTATATACAGCTTTAGGAACAACAATGTGAAAGAGGTTGTCAGGAGTTTAATCAACTCCAAACTGCTTTCTCACTCAATATATTTCAAATAAATATATATATTTATGTCCTACTTATGTCCAGTAATTTTTCATATATATTACTGATGCTAGGTTACCTTTAAGTAAATATATGATTATGCTTTAAATCAATTAAATATTGTACTTTCCATATTTTTCAGTGGTCAAGATGCTCTGGATTAATATAGAAATAATCTATTCTGACACACTACATGTCTACTGGTTTCAGAAAGGACCATATTTCAAAAACTCCCAGTTAGACACTATGGAATTCAGGGTGATGAATAAGGGATATATATTTAGAGACTCATTAATTATGTTATAGTTTAAACTTTGCCTTATAAAAGTGCTAAAAACCACAGATGATCTGGATATGCTCTCAGGTTCTCATAATCAGTCCACTCAGAAAGTTCTATAAAACACTTTTTATTTCCCTCGAAACTTTATTTCATTTCAGGTAAAATGAGGACCTGGGAGTTTGCATTATGAGATATATTATCTGACTTTAAGCTAGGGGATGCTGAAAATGTTAATAACTCTCTATATTAATCACTTATTTTTTGAGTATCAGTCTAATATAGTTCAATGAAAGGTGTTGAAATTAACCCTGAATGCTAAGAAAAAGTTCAATTTATTTCTAACAAGTCTTATTTTCATTGCTTTTCAAGTTGGCAGTGATGACCTATGACCATTCTGTGGCAGTTTGTCATCCCTTGCTCTACACCACTACTATGTCCCAGAAGCATGTGCTCTGCTGGTGGCTGGGTCTTCTTCATGGGGTGTAATATGTTCCCTGACAGTCACATATTTTCTTCTAGCATTGCTTTCCAGCATATGCTATAGAAATAGGATAATTATTTCTGTCTCCTGCTGGGATATAAGCCACATGCTGCGTTTTATTATTGCCCTATTCAATGAGGTGAGCAGCCTGACAATTATTCTGTCTTATATAGTAATTTTTATTACTGTTGTGAGGATACCTTCTGAGAGTGGGGGCCAGAAAACCTTCTCCTCTTGTGCTTCTCACCTGACAGCCATCACCATCTTCCATGGAACCAGCATTTCCCTATGTTGTATCCCTACTCCTAAAACTTCTTGGCTCACAGTTAAAGTGGCATCTATGTTTTACACGGTGGTGATTCCCATGCTGAATCCTTTGACCTACAGCCTTAGGGAAAAAGATGTGAAAAACACATTCAGAAAATTAGTTGTCAGAAAATTGCTTTGCCAAAACAATATAATTTTGTTAGATTAAATTTTGTAATTCTAAAAAAATTTATTTTCTATGCTTAGATTGTTTAACTCTTATAGTGAAGTTGATGATTCCATCTATTTGCTCAATAAGATGTTAGTTAATATATCTATGGCAGTATAACTTCTTATGATTACGGATTTTTGCATATATTATTTTTTTTGAAATTTCTCTAAGCCACTTATAAATCAAAATTTTACAAATTAAATTTCTTGGACCATATTTTGCAATTTTTTTGAGGAAAATTACCCCTGAGCTAAATTCTTCTACCAGTCTTCCTCATTTTGCTGAGCTGGACTGGCACTGTTTACATCCATGCCCATCTTCCTCTGATTTATATGTGAGACACCTGCCACAGCATGCTTGACAAGCAGTGCCATGTCCATACCCAGGATGTGACCCAGCAAACCGGGAGCCACTGAAGCAGAACATGTAAACTTAACAGCTGTGCCACTGGGCTGGCCCCCATATTTTCTAACATATGTAAATTATTTTTAAAATACATTGTCATTTGGAGTAATTTTTTATGTGTGTTTCCAAAGTAAAACTAATTCTCAGTTTAACAAATATGTGCAGATCAAGAACGGTTCCTTAGAATAGTAATTAGGCAGCTTGTGTTTCAGAGCTGGATGTAACAAAATGCTTAAGCTTCCTATATCTTGTACAGCAATGAATATTTTGCTCTTTATTGTATTGAATGGCGGAACTTGTCTTTTATTCATGAAAATTCTAGCCAACTGACAAGCAAACAAAATTGAATAAAGTATTGTTCTGCTTTCTCTAAAATTATATGTTATTTTATTCAAAAAAATTTGTATAATAAAGGAAGTAGGACAGTAATAAAGACCAGAAGTGAGCTCAAGCATATCTTGTCATTTGAATTTGAACAAATGTGTCATTATAATTCAATGAAGAAAGGATGATTTTCAACAAATAATGGTAAGATAACTGAATACACATATGGGTAAGTGAGCCTTAACTTTTATTTTACACCATACACATCTATTACCTCAAATTAAATGAAATGGATCATAGATCTAAACATAAAAATTAAAACCTCAAGAGTGATGTCAGCATCATAGGAGAGTGAACTTGCTTGGGATCCTCTCCCCTACAACATACAATGAAAAGGGATGCTCATACTCCAACAGAGGACATTTTAACACAACATAAAAACATTGGAGAGACCTACACAACCATACAATGGAGGGCGGAGAGGCTGGAGCCCCCTCAGAAGAGCTGGACCAGGGTAAGAGAAAACTTTGCTCCCTCATCTAATACACTGTGATCCACAATGTCAGGAGGCTCTTAGAGGGAAGAAAGGGGAGAGGGGATGCTCATTTGTGGGAACCTCATGGACCCCCAAGGCCCAGCAGCCTACCTAGAAGGCCTTTACTGGGGTGAGAGCTTTCACAACAGTGGCCTCATCAAGCACACACCCCAGGAGAGCAGATAGTAGGAGCGAGAAACCCAAGAAAGCATGCAAGAGAAAGCACCCTTCCCCCCACCCGCCCTCTGCCCACTCCACTGCCTGGGATCTCAGCTGAAGGCAGAGGGCTCAGAATATCTGGCTCTTGACATCCACCCAGTGG